AATAGATGGAGATGGAATGAGTTGAAATTTAAGGATTTAGGTTATGAGTTGATGCTGCTGCGTAGTTATATACCCAAAACATTTGTCTTGTGAAACTAAAACCTGTTGCGAAATTAAATTCGTGTTGCGAATTTGAAATTCAGTTGCGAATTTGAAATTCAGTGTTGCAAATTTGAAAATCACATTACGAATTTGACTTATGTGTTGCGATTTACAAATTCGCGTTGCGAATTTGGAAACTGGGTTGTGAATTTGTTGGTCATTTTCGCAAATCCAAAAAAAGTTGGTTAAAATCGTATATTATAAGGCATTTTCGGTCACTGAGGTTATTTTCTCAAGTTTTAATTGCCAATTCACCCCCCTCTTGGCCGATTTATCCGATCGATTAACTCAACAGAAATTTTATTAAAAATATATATAAATTATAAATAATAAAAACTCATATTAAGTTATTTATGTAAAAATATAATTATAAATTTAATTTATTAACAGTTAACCGTTGGTTAACCGTTTATCAAAATTCGTAACAGTAATCTTAACCGTTAACTATAATTTTTAGTGGTTCGGTTAACCAAAACTGTTTAATATTAATAGTTCGATTAATTAACATGTTAAATATAATGATTATACTGATTAACGGTTACGGTTAACGGTTTTGGGTTTTTTTTAACACCCCTATCTGCAAGGGTAAGAAATGAAAGAAGTGAACCAGCAGGTATTTTAAACCCTGTTGTAATTGATCGGTCCATAGTAGTCCCTTGCCTGGTAAAAAAGTCGAATCTTGTGCATACGCAACTGCAGAAAATAAGCTTGCAGACCATATTTGTACAAGCCTTATAACTGTCTTCGCTTCTTCAACCTCACTGATGCTAAACACCTGAACTTGTTCCTTTGGAACATCTGGAGCATGCAAGGCTTTGTCGAGGAACCTGTACATTAGAAAATCCATATTGCCATTCAAGTGATATTTGTCATAGAATTGTAAATAGGCACATTATTTTCACCAAAACAAGGGTAACAACTCAAATGGATCACAAAAGTCGAAGTTCTAAACATTATAATAGTTGAAAGAAATGAGTGAGAGATCCAACTCAATTAAAAAAGAGGCATCAAACAATGCTACAGATTAGCAAAAGAAGCTACAATTTCAGGACCTTTATGAGCATGAGTTCATGCATCTTTTGTAAACAGAGATTATGGTGGCACTATATTTTACAGGATCCTAACATGCACATATGCCGGGATTACAGCCTTGTTTAGATGATACAGGAACTTAACAGATGCCATTAAAGCATAAAAGTGAATTTTCTGTTTTGTGTATAAGGCTTTAGATATTGATCTTCAGTAAAACTCACTTGAATTGCTTGAAACTTTCAGCTGGAAGACTTCGTCGGGCCTCTTCATCTGTGGCAAGTGCTGCTGAAGATGTTGTTTTCCGATTCCTGACAGCTAAAATGAACACTCGACCAATTCTCACAAATGGATTTTCTTTATTCCCTTTGATACAAAATTTGTAAGTCCTCGTTCCAAGCACAAAAACAACCAGTGCAACAACCATTACAATAGCGGTATCCCAAATCCAAGAACCCAAGTAATGTTGTCTTGTTTTTCAACAAAAAAATAATGTTGTCTTGGATGTAGGGTAAAATCCAAGTGGTTAGGAATGCACCAGCACTTATACCAAAGTAATACCAACAAAAGAATGAACCCTGGGCTTTGCACTCCTCTGGATCTTGTTTATAAAACTGATCCGCACCAAAAGCTTGAACACATGGCTTGAACCCACCTTGTCCAAATGCTGCTAGATACAGTGAGAAGAAGAACATTATCGCTTCAACCAGAACAGAAGAACATTATGAACTCTCTTAACAACTAGTTGATTCATACTAGGAAGAAATCAAGTTCAACTCCTTGTGCTTCCTTTTTTCAAGGTTCAATTGGGAGAAAAGAAAAGAAAGGAAATTCAGTTTTACCAAAATGTAAAGGAAGGAACAATGATGGTGCGGTATCGACCAAGAAATGAATCACCAATGAATGCACCCAAGAGTGGCTGAAGCGACAAAGTCTCAGACCAGGCGTTGACTTGTGCGGCAGCGTTGGCAGCGGTCTCCCTCGGTGGCCCCGTTAAGTAAATTATGAGGTTTGAATAGATTCCAGTGCAATTTCGAAGGCAATTATGAAAGGACCGCCAACCGCCGGAGTTTGAGCGGCGGAAGGGGCGGCCTTTGTAGTCACCGCAGCATCGACAGTGTCATCTAATAGTGGAGTTTGGAGGTCTCCATCGCTTCGGCAATACTATTGCAGTCTGAGTGTGTGACTAGTTAAAGTGAAATGAAATAGACTAGCTTTACATGTATAGTATCTTATCCTTTTTAATTATAATTCAGGGAAAATTACAAAATTTATCACTTATATTTTAGTTTTTTTTCATTAATTTTTAAAAAATTATATTTTAGTTACTAATCATTAACGGCATGATATAATATGTTGAAAAAAAATAAACTTTAACTTGAATTGTAAATTTACATATGAAAGAGAAGATTGATGCGAATTCAAATTCGTGGGTGAAGAACGTCGTCTTTAAACGTATCAGGTCCAAATTCATTCATAAAAAATCCTTTTTACTTTACATTGAAGAAATGTTATAAAATCCCAACATCCTAGAGAAAATCTTTAGGTCCTACATGAGTATATATAGTATTATGTCACACAGGAAAAAGTACATCTTCTGTTACTTACATGTTACTTATATCATCATCGACAACGGTTGAAGCTTTAAGCTTAGGCGGTGGGCGAGGTAAACAAGATGCCAAGTGAGAGCAATTAGGTTAAGAACATTAAGAATCCATGATTTTGCTTTTAGCTTCTTCAGCCTCTCATTCAGCCTACCGATGTTGGCTGCCGATGATGGGGATTCCCTGCTTTTCGTTGCTGCCTCTCTCGCCCTGCTTTCTTCGACAACCAAGCTCTCTCTTCCACTTCGATCTTCCTTCTCGATTCTCATCCTCACTAACATAACCTACATCATATAAGCTTCATTTTGGTCACAATAGTAGATCAGGGCTGTAGATGTAACGAATGCTCGTAACATAAATGAATGAATTAGGTGGCTAATGTTGCCTAAAATGTTATCTTTTGGCTTTTGGCTGGAGATACATTGCCTTGACCAAAACAAAGAAAAAGTAACACAAAAGATTAAACGCTTGAAACATGTCGGTCTTGCTAGAGAATAATGTCTCCGACAGGGCCAACCCAACGCTAAAACCCATAGCTTTGGCGTAAACAGGATGTATCTTGCTTTGCACCGCCACAAGTTGCTGTCTCGGCAGAGCTTCAGCCAACACGGTGCTCGAAATGAACGTCACCCACACACACATCCCGTAAGCCTAAGCTAATCCCAACAAGTTAGCAATACCCATCACCGGTTTCAATGCCTCGATTTCAATCATGCACTTCACCGTATCGAGTAACTTGTTTGCGCTACTTCTAGCCTTCCTTTCTGTTTTCTCCATTGCCTCTGTGCCATTGTTCACTACATGACTCCGTAAAGCCTCAGCCGTTGCGCTACTTCTAGCCTTCCTTTCTGTTTTCTCCATTGCCTCTGTGCCATTGTTCACTACATGACTCCGTAAAGCCTCAGCCGTGTCTTTCGCCGTTTCCATGGTGCCCTTGACCTTTTGTGCTAATGCCTCTTTTGCTTTGCATGCTGTTTCTTTCACCTTATCTTTAGCTTCATCTGCGGCCACTGAAACCTTGTCTTTGGCAAGGTCGAAAACAGAGGCGAATGTTTGAGTACATTTTCCAAAAGCATCACAGATAAGTTCCCCGGGGATGTGACCACCAGGCAGGCTTTTCCTACCGGTGAAATGCCTTGGCCAAGGTTGGGAAGCACAGAGGCAGCTTCTTTAGGAGCCTCCTTGTTAAAATATTCCAACGGTTTCGGTTGCTTCCGTGACGGCGGTGGTGACGAGATAGAGACTTTGGTGCCACGTTGGCCATATTCATCATATTCAACGACTACAACTGTATGCACTTCTTTGGGTCTAACATATTGCCTTTGCGGGTTTGGCGACCATATTCCAGCAGCTGCCAATGAAGTTGCTACAAGACTCAAGGCCAAAATATTGATCATCTTTCTTTTCTCTTCCGATATTTGCGTTGGTTATGGGATGTTTTCTTGTCTGGAGATTTTATGAATTGAAAGATATAATCCACGTTGCATGTAGCAAGCCGCCGAGAAACCGAAGCGTTCGCGCTGACTCCACCACGTTGTTTTCAACTTGGAGGCATTTCAGGGCCTTGTTGGACTTTTTAAACTACTCATCTTGTAAGTTCGAGAGCAGTCCCTTAGGCCTAAAGTATAGTTGGAAACCAAGTGATGGACCCAGTTAGAGGCAGTAACGGTCGCAATTAAAATTTCATTTTTTTTCTATTTTGTATTAATAATTTATTTTATTTTTTAAATGTAATAAATTTATTTATTCTTAAAATATTATAAAATCATATTTATTATTAAAAATTCATTTTTAATACAAACTTTTGGATTGTCGTGATTAATTTTCTATAAAATAATTTATTTAAAAATTATTTTATATAAAATAAGTAAAATAAATTATATAAAAACTTTTTTATGTAAAATAAATTATCTAAAAATTAATTTACATAAAATGGATTATGCCTTCCATTTCCTTGGATCGATTCTTTCGACCTCAGTGGCCGCGCTGCAAATGCAACAGAGAAAAGGCGAAACAAACCTCTCTGCGTGTCCGCGAAAAGTGAGCTTTGGGTTCATTAATTGGGCTTTGCTTCACTTTACTGATTCCCAAACTGAAAATGGAGGAACTTTCTGGGCTTCTACTTCTCTTATGTTTCGCGCGGGGAACTGATAGGTCAAATCAGCCCAAGTATTATGGTCCTTTACCCACACATTTGAATTCCAGGAAAAAATAATCCTTTATCCAGATCTCCCTCAGCCTCACACTTGTGGTGTTCATTTATTTGTTTGTACACAAGGCATATAGGGTGAGGTTAGGGTTCACCATAATTTCATTTCATTCCAGTCTGGCAATGGCAAATATCTCAGCTTTACCACTTGTTCCTCAATACAGTCCCGGGATGCTAGCTACTGCAAATAAGCATCAAATTAGACCCAGAGTTTTCACTGTCTTTGCTGCAAAATCAGGTCCCTTAAACTCGGTAATTAAACTCTCTTCTTCTCCCTGCATCATTCTTTATAAGCTTATTTACAGAACATAAGATCACATTACATTTGTATGCAGATATTGAACAGATGTCAGAAATGTGGAGGCAAAGGGGCCATAGAGTGCCCTGGATGTAAGGTGGCGTTGTACTCTCTTGACCTCCACGTACCTTGTGCACTTCCAAACACTACCATGCTTAATCTTGCTGCATTTTTTGAGTTCTCTTTTTGCAAAGACTGAATAAATGATGCTTAGTTAATTTATACCATGCATGATTGAGTTTACAGGGAACAGGGAAAAACAAAAAGAATGGCAACATATTTGAGAGATGGAAGTAAGCTGTTTTCGTATATTATTTATGTTTTAGAATACTTTTTTATGGGAGATATATAATTATATCTCAATTATTTAAATAAAAAATTGGATTTGTTTCAGATGCTTTGATTGCCAAGGATTTGGGTTGAAAAGTTGTCCTATTTGTGGGAAAGGAGGGCTCACACCTGAGCAAAGAGGAGAAAGATAGAGGCTTTTAGTTTTTAATGAAACATATTGTATCTCATCACAATCTACAAAATCTCGAAAACTTTCCCTCACTGTATTATTATTGTGCATCTTCTCAAAAACTTTGATACTATAATGCTAAATAAATATTTAAAATGTTATTGAAGATATTTGTTACAACACTTGTAACATTTTGTGTATATATTGTGCATATACATAAATAGGTAAAAACATGGTAACAAAGTTGTAACAATTTAAATACTTACACAAAAGTTAATAATATATTAAATGTATACTTAACTACTCAAAGGTTGCTCAATAAAACAGTACAACAAAAATTGAATATATTACTCATTGCTAAAAAAAACGATACATACACCTACTTAAGTATAGGAAGAGAACGAAGATCCTGAAAAAAAATTGAATACGGCTACGGTTTCCATAGCATGTTGTTGAACTCCTTCCTCAAGGTTAGTCAATAAATCCGTTACGAACAACCAGGAGTTTGCCCGAGATCCATCATATCCATTTGCGGTGGAGTTATTCTTTTCCGAATAAGCATTTCCACGGTGGGGCACGTTCTCTTCCGCCCACCTCTCGGTCTTAATCGAAATTGCTGGTCAGACTCCAAGAAGTCTCCCTGCACAAGTAGTTATAGAAAAAACCATGAACTTTGCCTAAAGTGAAAAAGACCAATACCACAAGACAGAAGCTCACAAGAGCATTGAGCCATTGAATAACTAGTAACTTACTGGAGTATACACGTGGCACCCTGATTTCTCATGTTTATCTCTAACATGCTTGTACGAAAATTTCATGCCACAACCAAAGCTACATGCATAAGGCTTGAGTTCTTTGTGCATGGCCTTGACATGCTGGCGGAGATTTGATTTCTGTAAAGGAATATTTCAACACATCGGTGAAAAAATAAAAATGTTAATGATCAGAAAACAATTTTAGCAAGGAACACTTGCTTAGTCTTTAACAATAACATTCTACTTCTTATGTATTTTAAGGTTCACAGCATCTTACAGTTGAAAATGTGTGAAGACAACCCTCAAAATCACACTTAATTCTCTCTGAGGCAACCCCTTCCGATTCATGTGTTTGGAGGTGCCTCTTGATGTTCTTCTTCAGATGCTTTGCTCCGCAAATCTGGCAGTTAATATATGCATGGCATGATCGCACATGATCCCTAAGACATTGCTCATTAGTGAAATACTTCATACAACCTGGTTCGGAACAGAAGGCTTCCACCGAGTCCAGCTTAACTGTGACAGTTAAGTTATTCATCAGATAACATGTACTCTCATCAAATCAGATGCTTTGATAGATTTTGAACACTGAAAAAATGGAAAGCAACTTGCCATGAGAATCAGCATGCTTTTTCAACTTTGATGCAAATTTGAACACCTTTCCACATCCTACTTCTTGACAGACATATTGCTTCTCACTTCCAGCGTCAGAGGAAAATGACTCTTCATCATGAAATTCTTTTAGATGCCTTGTCATATTGCCTTGAAATGCAAAATCTTTATTGCAGTTCTCAATCGGACAGTTAAAAAGTTTCCCTTGGTGCTGAAGAAGGTGGCGATTCAAGTGGTCTTTCCTCCTGTAGCTAGCATGGCAATCTTCAACTGAACAAACAAATGGCCTCTGTGGTAAAATTTATAAAAAAAGGGGTATTAGAACAACTAGCACATAGCATACATCATAGATGTATACATGCAAATTAGCAAGTCTTCAAACCTCAAAGTACACCACACCGCGTGACCGAGGCTCACTTGATGGAGCTTCTCAGGAGGTCTCCCAACCTGATACTGGTCCATTCAAGTAATAACAAAACAGCCTCTTGCATTTTGGAGTTCTTTTTGTGGGATCCAATGCTTCACGCTATAATATCTGATGGTTATTTTTTCGTTATAAAAAAAATAGGAACTCCTGCAAAAGTATTCATCCTTGATAGACATGAACACAAGAAAAACAAAGCAGTCATAAATCATAAGTGACTAAAAGTACCCATGTCCTATATATATTCAGACATTGATTCGAGGGTATGATTCCCCAAATATATGAATAAACTTAAGCAAATGAGCTTATCTATATCAAACATACATTGGTAAGACAATTTCCTTCAAAAATATATATATATTGGTAAGACAAGTGATACTAAATTACAAACAGCATGAACTAAAAAGATCTTTCAGCTTGAAGCTAATTACAAGGGTTTTTTTTATTTAAAAAAAAAGGCACCTCAAGTGAATGGCTTTGCAAGTGTTGCTTCAAATGAGCAGGCTTCTTGAAGAAGCACCGCATTTTTCACATGTATTCGAAGATGAAACTCCCTCTCTTCTTTCCCCTCATTGTTTAACTCGTCCTGAATAAAAGCCAAAGTTCAAAACAAAAGACACGTTTTGAGTTGAATATGAGAAAAACAGAAGAACCCATCGGCAGATTTCCGGGGGGGGAATGGGAAAACGTTGCAGAACAAAAGAAAGTACCGGATGATGAGCGAGGATGTGGGAGGTGATGAGAGTCTTCTTAGATCTGCATATTCCACAGTATTCGCAGAAATAACGCCTTATGTCTTTGAAGATGGCTCCTCCGCCTCCTTGTTCTTCTTCCATTTTTATTGGATTTTCGCGGGTACAGCAAGCAGGCGCGCCGCTCTCGATATATATCACACAAGATGACCTACGCAATAGCGGTTGACCTTGGACTTAGTCTTGGAAGGCGGTGTTTAATAGGACTGATTCAGCCCATCTAATCATTATTTTGGATTTTGGATTTGGGCTTTAGTATTTTATTTTCAAACATTGAATTTGATTTTAGGTCCAATCGAATGCTTTGATGTCATAAAACTAAAATGGTTTGATCACCTAAAAGGACAACAATAATGGTGTTAATGCTAAAAAACTAGATATCCTATTCTACTTGATATATATATATATATATATTTATTTATTTTTTACTATTCCCAGTTTTAAAATAATCGAATATAAAGTATTGAATGTTGATAATTAAAATTTAGTTTAATTATAAAGAAATTTCTGTTAGTGTTATGAATATCAACTATAACCAACATCCCATCATTTGGGCTTATTTGAACTTAAGGATTAGGGTTTATTTTTCTAAATTTTGGGATTCTTTAATTAATCAAAAACAATAACAAATAAAATTGAGTCTTTTTTCTTTTTTGCCTTTTGATTAGCGGCGACGTCAACTTTAATAATAGTTGTTGATCGTCGGTATTTCTTTATTTTCATTTTCCTTCTTTATTGTATCTCTATTTTCTTAATTTTTTTATTTTCAATAAGTCTGCATGTATGACACGTTTTCATCTGTCACAATTTTCTTGTCTTTTGACATATTTTTCGGTGAATTTGGCCGTTTTTTTCATTCAATTTTTTCTTATGGTTGATTTAATATTTTCACGACTAATCAAGATGGCGCTTGTCTCATATCTTATTGATATTCCCTGCTTTGAACCCTCATGGGGGTGTTTGTTCAATGATTGTGGGATGGGAATCCCACATTCCCTGTTTGGTTAGCTGAGAATCTCATTCCGGTAATGTTTTATTACCAATAGTAGATTTTTTGGGGTATATTACGGGAACGTCATTACCTCCCTTCCTTTAGGTATTGTAACATTACCGTCGTTTTTGATAAAACGCCCTTAAATTTTATTTTTTTTCAAAAATATCATTCTTCTGCATTGAATAATAAAAATTCTACGAAGGTTAAATTACAAATTTATCTTTAAATTATTTTAGATTTACAAAAAAAAATCTATAATTAAAATTTATAAAGTTAGGGGTTAAAAAAATTACCATTTTTAAACCTTTTTATATTTTTAATTTTGTAAAAAAAATTATATAAATATTATAAATTTAATTTTTAAAAAATATAAATATTTACAATTTGTAATATTATAAAAATATAATAAGTACATTTGGTCAAATACATTCCAATAATTTTTTATTCCTTTAACCAAACACGGTAATCTTACATTCTGCTAAACCAACCAAACACAAAATACAACATTCCCAGTAATCTATTCACTGGTATTTTTTCCCACTTATAATCTTATTCCGTGAACCAAACACACCCTCAAGTAAATTTAAAAATTATTTTGTATTTGTGGATAGTTTTTCACATCACTTAAGTTAGATTTACAATTATTTTCGGTGTTTCATTAAACAAATCAGAAAAGTAGATGATAATCGCTATGGCATTAATTGGACTAGTGCCATCAGCTTTACTGCTTCATTCTTTCGGTTCCATAACCCGTTTGATCTCATTAATTGTTTTAAGCAAACAAACCTTTGAAAAAATAACATAAGAACTTGAAGAAAAAAATCAAATCTTACAATTATTTTCGGTGTTTCATTAAACAAATCAGAAAAGTAGATGATAAGTGCTATGGCATTAATTGGACTAGTGCCATCAGCTTTACTGCTTCATTCTTTCGGTTCCATAACCCGTTTGATCTCATTTCTTCCTTGCTAAGCAAACAAACCTTTGAAAAATATAACATAAGAACTTGAAGAAAAAAAATCAAAATCTTGAAAACAAAATAAGAATATGTAAATTCGAGCTAAAAGCCACCCAAAACACAAATAAATTTTTCTAGCTAATTTTCATACAACTTATTCGAGGAAAAGAACACTCAGAATATGAAAAAAAGCCCAAATACCTAATTGTTTTAAGAGAAAATAACCTCAGTGATCAAAAATGCCTTATAATATACGATTTTAACCAACTTTTTTTGGATTTGCCAAAATGACCAACTAAATCGCAATGCGATCGATAATTTGCAACTCGATTTCCGGTATCGCAAATCAGTTTTCAGATTCGCAACGCGAACATCGACTATCGCAACGCGAACTTCAATTATCGCAATGCGATTTTCCAAATTCGTTGCGGTAGTCGAAGTTCGCGTTGCGATTTATTCCAAGTTCGTTGCGATAGTCGAAGTTCGTGTTGCGATTTATTCCAAATTCGTTGCGATAGTCCAAAATCGCAACGACTGGTGGTATTGCATTTGTTTCTTAAGAATTTTCTCTAAAAAGATAGTATTCGCGCGGACGTGTCGAAGACACGTATGACCACGACCCACGACCACGACCACGACCACGACCCGACCTGAGACGAGACGGACGGCGGCGGCGGCGGCGCGCGAGAGTCTCTCTTGTTCTCTATCACTCAACAAGAAAGTGGGAAAGCCAAGCCTTAAATATCATTCCCAATAGTGTTTCCAATACTATGTGAGATTGAGCATTACCAACACTTGTTCCCAATACTATGTGGGATTAAGCCTTAAATAGTGATATTATTTGTGAATTATAGTTAATGACTTTAGTATTTCTATGAAAAGTATTTGTGGTTCGTTTAGTTTTCATGCAATTCTAATTTATTTTCAATTGATTGTAATTGCACGATAACAATTTTTTTATTCTCGCGAGTGATGCAATTTTTTTTCAATTAATTAAAATCTTATATTATAAGATATTTTTTTTCACTGAAGATATTTTCTCTTGTTTTAATGATTAATTTTATAATAAAAAATCAAGGACAATTATTTATTGTTAGAAAAAGAAAAGTATAAGCAAGCAAGCATAAAGGTTGGTGATATCTGAGAAAGACAGACAGGAAGTATGTGGAAAGATTCCTTTTTATTTGCCATTTGTTTTGTCTTTTATCCTAAATGGACAACCAATCTAAAAGTAATACCCATTGCAACAAAGTAGCCCGAAAATCCTAATCCTTTCATATCAACACATGTGGTTCACATTGAGCCACTTGACAAGTTCCCCACTTTCCTTGATAGAATAATCCTTTCATTATCTTCTCCTTCATTCCACTAGATTAAATAATTCATTAATTCATTAACAAGAAGAAAAAAAAAGAAAATATTTTTATTTTCCATATTTTCACACTTGGGGAATGATGGGGTTGTGCTAGTTTAATGGGCAATCTTTGACACCACCCTACTGCACATTGAATTACATTTCATCACTAAAGCTAATCACGATCAACAATCCAAAAATGGTAACAAAACACATGCATTGAAGGAAAGAAAGAAAAAAGCTGCTGCAAAACAGTTGAAGAATGTGAGCTGGATTTATAAGCTTTTGATCATTAAGAATCTGTTGCTGGGTTTTCATCTCCACTATCACTTCCTTCAGTGTGATTTTCCTGATCCAAATTCATTTTTAAGCCCACTCTGTTGTTGTTGTCGTCGTAAACGCTGATTCCCGTACGGCCCAGTAGCCCCATGTTGGTCTCTGTCACTCCTAAACCGAGATGATGACCCCCGGTTCGCTGTTGTTGCAATATCTCGAACCCAGCTGAACCGGATTTGCTCTACCCCCACCACCCGATATGAGCCGGAAAGGTCCACATATGTGCTTCCGGCACCGTGGCTGATGCGGTGGCAGTACCGCCTACTGGTAGCATCCAGAAGGCATTACCTCCATTGGTGGTGGCCGGTGCGACGGCCCACATAGCTGGAGTTGGCATGACGTTGGCTGTGGGAATGAACCGGTTCTTGTTCTGGCATTCCGATTCTCTCCGGTTTAGGAGAATTTGAGTCTATAACACCCGTTTCGGGATTGTGTTGGGACGATTCTTTGAAAAGATCATTCTGAATGACTTTGTATGTAGTTGTCGTTAGGGCTGTGGAGTTGAGGGTAAAGTTGATGGTGAAACCCTAGCATGGCGGTATTGTTGGCGAACCTTCTAGTATCGTCTCCTCCATTACTGTTGTAAAAGCCTAAAGCACTGTGTAAAGAGAGAGGCGCGGATTTAGAAGAAGGAGCCGAAACGGTGGATCCACTGCTCCGAAGCGAAACATTGAGGTGGGAAATTGGCCGGGATAGTCCCTGTTCCCGTGGCAGCTATGATGGCGGGTTCGCTTGTTGGAGTAGCCACTCGATGGTTTCACCGTCGGATTTTATGACCCAATTCGCGGGTGAGCTGGAAGACTCGAGCGGCGCAGACGGCAGGCATCCGGATGCGACGGCCGCGGCCATCGACCTTGGTGTGACGGTCTTTGGTGGGTCTTTTGGCTCGCTTAGCAAGGGAAGAAGTGGGAGTAGAGGAGGAAGAGGGAAGGGGAATTTGGTTGAGATGGAGCCCATGAATGGACATGGCGAGGCTGGGCTGAGAGGAGGAGGTCCCATGTGCGCCACACCCTGTCGTGGTGAGCTTCTTGTTTAGGGGGAGGATCACTGCTACTGCCGCTTTTATTGCTCTCTGTGACTCCATAATCTCCGTATGGGGTTCCCAAAGATTTTGTTTTGTGGAATTAGACGATCTCCCAAAATATGAAGGCCCTATTTTTTTCTTCAAGTGTAATGAGTTGTGATCCTAACCGGTGGTAGTGCGTGGTGGTCTTCTTCCTTGTGATTGACTGCTATCAACTCAGGAGTAGGTGCACACACTAGAGCAAATTAAATAATTTTTTGAGCACTAGCCCACGAGTGGGGGCCTCTAGTTTTAAAAAAAAAATGCAGATCGATTAAAAACTCTTCTCTGTTTTAGTTAAAAGAAAATTTCCAAATACTCTTGGAAAAGATTGAAGCTCTCGAATTTGTTATGGATTTCACTTGATTTTTTTGTGCGTGTTTGAATCGACAAGTCTAAGATATGCTAATCCGTCTCAACAATAATGACAGCTATTTCATATTGTTGAC